CAAACAATGTATAGGGGGTTGGGGCAAAAAGATAAGCAATGTATAGAAAGGGTCAGGTCGAGAAGATAAACAATGTTTACAGAGGGGTGGGTCAAGAAGAAAAACAATGTATACAAGGGGGTGGGTCAAGAAGACAAACAATGTATAGAGGTGCAGGTCAAGAAGATAAACAATGTATACAGAGGGGCGGGACAAAGAAGATAAACATGGTATAGAGAGGGGGTGGGTCAAGAAGATAAACAATGTAAACAATGTATAGAGGGGGACGGTTCATGAAGACAAACAATTTATAGAGAGGCTATAAGCTATGAGAGACTATAAACAATACGTAGACTGGGGAGTTTCAATAAGACAAACTATGTAGAGAGAAGGGAGGGTCAAGAAGACAAACAATATATAGAGAGGGGCGGGTCAGGAAGACAAATAATGTATACAGGGGTGGACCAAGAACACAAACAATGCACAGAGAGGGGTTGGACAAGAAGATAAACAATATATAGAGGGGGCGGGTCAAGAAGATAAACTATGTATATAGAGGGGTGGATCAAGAAGTTAAACAATGTATAGAAAGGGTTTGGGGCCAAGAAGATAAATAATGTATTGAGGAGGACGGGTCAAGAAGACAATGTATAGAGGGGTTGGGGCAAGAATATAAGCAATGTATAGACAGGAATTCGGCCAAAAAGATAAACATTGCATACTAGAGAGGAATGGGGCAAGAAGATAAACAGATAGATTTAAATACACTGAATGAATATTTAAAACATACAACACTTAAAGATAGACTTACGAATAAGTGCTAAATAAAAGTAAGGGATTTTTAAAATGGGTTTTAGACACTCGTATCCATTTATCAGCGTTAGCAATCATTATCTGAATTTTTCCTTACCTTTCAAGTAATTTGAAAAAGATATGGAAAGTAAGTAAGTTTGAAAAGATAAATTGCAGATTAATATGATCTCTATTATCAGACTTACCAAAAATAATAGAACAAATTAAAGATCTCATGGTGAAATTCAACATTGATCAGAATTCAGAAATAAATAATAATGATTTTCTTCAGCGTTCATTATATATAGGCTTATGGTTACGGTTGATGACGAATAATGTAATTCTCGATCCCAAATTAGGTATGCACATAGTAACGCAAAATTATCTAAGCAAGAAACTTTATGAAATGATTATTGTCTTTCAATTTTTTTAAAATGTCTTTGTCCTTGTTTTGAGTTCTAAGTGAATGATAAACAAGATTTTTTTGTATTAAAATAAAGAGATTTCAGCAATAAGAAAAATAAGGGATATCTGTAAACAAAACGGCGAAAGAGGATAAGTCTGTTGTAGAGGTGAACCTTTGAAACCCTTAATAAATCATAATTTTCTAAAATAAATCGAAAATTATTACCTCAGGTAAATACTTTTAATTGTATTTATACGTACAATTGTGTGTAAAAAATTTGAAAACACGTATTTACATATATGTAAGATAATAAATAAATAGAGAATATTACATACTCAAATGTATGTCATATCAGCTCAAGTGGCCCCATATCAGCCCGAGGGCCGGTATTCTATTTATCATATAATTGACATACTTAACGTGTGGGTTAACACAAAGTCAATGAAGAATGTTTCGTGACTGTTTTTCCACCTTTTTTTCCTTTGAAATATTAATCAGAGTCAAGTATAATGTACTTAAAAATAATAAAGCCCACTAAATGTTACCAAGCACTTTCCTCAAATATATATTTTATATCTCTTTGTTTTATATAAAAATTATGCATATTCGTCATTTTCTTTTTGATTTCTGTATTGCCTTCAATGTATATGTACATGAAAAAAGAAAGAAAATGATCAGTACTCAAGAACAAAGGTGCATAAAACAATACAAAACAGGAGCAGAGCAAATAAGGACTTCCAAAACATCAGAGATGGGATCAGGTGTCATGGTAAAGTGAACATCCCATGCCGTGTGCTCTATGTCATGATCGGAAAATAGCGAGAAAACTCGTCGTGAATGTGTCGTATTGCGACGTCATTCATTTCACACAATTAGTAGAATTAATACCTAGTATAACTTTGGCCGGGACTAGCATTTGCAGAAAGGTCACTGTTTATCGCATTTCATACCTCACATTCCCTGTTTTCCATTAGTTAGAGTCTTTGACTCAATGCCTCAAAATAAGATTTTTTTTTTCATTTTTCTTTTATTGTCCTTTTCGGAAACCCTTTTCTAGTTTAAGGTGGCTCATTACATCCACAGTTTATTTTAGATTTCAATACAGCATCACTTGTAGTGTAGATGTCAAATATCCAGATAGGGGTATTGATATCATAAATTTTCTTTATATATTTTTAATTTTTTTTTCTAATTTTAATGGAATGTTTTATTTCAAGTTTATTATTAACATACTTTCAGAACTTTCAGTGTCAAATGATGGGCATCTTCTTGAGACAAGTACACACAGTGAAAATGCCTCATAATTCCTAATAATAATTTTAAAAAAAATAATTTTCACCTAAAAAACAAATAATGTGATTATCTTTTTAATCTATGCATCAAGCATTAAGAAAATGAGTTCTGAAGAGACAGGTATGTATTTCAATGGATTACATGTGTCAAATTGAATGATGAATGTTTAAATGAAATGAAAAATCGAATTTAAAAATATAAAAAGTCAACTTTCAAGAGCTATCAGTAGTATAGAGCGAGGGATTATAACCACCATCCATGAGCAGTGAGCAAAAAAAAAAATCAATAAAAAAATCGATAAGGACCACTACTGGTCAGCAAGGAAAAAAACAATATAATACCTGGGTATGAATAATGGATGACGTATTGATTTGGATAAAGAGATCGATGAAAGATAAAAACAATGATATTATAGGTTTCGCTCTTCTATTAAAAGTTCAAAGTAGATTGTTTTAAAAAAGAAGGTGAACTTTAACGTTTGACCAAGCATCGTACCTATATAGATGTAACCTAAAAGTTCTCATTGTTGTAAATTAATGGACAGTAGTCTGACATGCAGATGACCGATTTTTTTATTCGTTTTTGAACAAGAGTAGCCAGAGTCAAGAGAGCTATCTATCAACATTTAGAGAATGGCAATTCTGTGAACTTTTGTAAATGTAAGAAACTACTTCACGAGAGCAAGAACAGTTCAAGAAGCCAACTGTATCGTGAAAATATGCATAAATGCTTGGGAAAATGAGAGAACTCCTTGATTGTGCTAATCATGTGTATACGATGAACCTTTTCCATGTTAAAGCGAAGATATTGGCAGTGAAAGACAACGAGCGGATAAATGAATATATTCACTGATTTTTACTACGTTTTGTTGATAAAAAATCAGTTTTTAAAAAACATAATAAGCACTACTGCTGGTCAGTGACTAAAACAATCCATAAAACAACTGGGTATGAATAATAGATGACTTATTTGTTGGGATAAAGAGATCAACGAAAATGGAAAACAATAAAAGCATTGGTTAATTTATGAAAAATAAAAAAAGTACCATTCACTTCCCAACTAGAAGATCGGAGAGATTGTTCTAGAAAATACCATAAACACGTCTTAATTGTGGTTTTCTAGGAAACAATCGATCAGGGTTAGCAAATAACCAATGTACTAGAATATAAACACACCTCTTCATGAATAACTCATTCATTACACAGATTGATAAGTTACATTCGAACACAAAAGAATCATTCCTCGATCTCGACCTAGGTCTGTACTACAATGTCTCGCTGCAAATTGACTCTAGGAAATGGACGCTTTGTACAAATTGTTGAATGGAAAGGGGAATTACGAGTGGACATCAGAGAATGGGAGAACGAAAAGCCCACAAAGAAAGGAATTAGTTTAACTTTGATGCAGTATAAAAATCTGATGAATGGGATGGAATCAACGGTGTCTCCAGCATTCACTGAAGACGACGGTAATGTGACACACAGAGCCAGAAAGGACGACTCATTTCACCTGGGTGACAATGTATTTTTGAAAGTGACAAAAGACAACCCTTGTGTAGACGTCAGACGACACTGGATGCCTCCCGATCAAACTGAAATAGTTCCAACAAAGAAAGCACTTTGTATGAGACCGACAGAATACCAGGCATTAAGAGATCGCATGCCTGACATCGAACACAATCTTCCGGAATTGGAAATCGTGATACCGTGCCACATGCGAGACGACCACAACAATCAGCTCGGGATGTTAAAGTGTAATCATTGTAATCTGTGTTTTGTGAATTTGGATTTTAATCATATATATATATCACCTGAACTGTTGGTAAGCTTCTTTTGTAATATGTCTTATGATCTGAGGACTATGTATGTATGTATGTCACTATCTCAACAACTTACACAAATAAATGAATAAAAAAAAGAGTTTCTGTTTTATGACTACAACATCAAGATTCGACGTGTGATACTTTATTTTGGTACCTCCAATATGTTATTCAGAAACAAAAGCACGTGTGTTTGATTAGAACAATTTATTGAATTTACATCAGACAAGATACAAATCTGCTCACTTTTTAAGATTTCACATCACAAAAGACAACGTTACAAATCATTGACATAGCGCAAAACAAATTCATCATTTACATCATGTTCATATTGTAAAAAATCACGACAAATGTCTTTCATGGTGCGTCCAAGATGACGTTGAACGGCAAAATAAATACAGTATTGTCCGCACACGTCGGAATCTAAAGCTTGTATTCTGTCTCTGATATACCCATATCGAGGTCCATTAGCCAACAATACCTTCTCAAATCGTGGATGGTAATGCTGGGGTGTTTGTCCTAGAGAGTCGTAAAATTCACAAATGTTTTCAGAGAAATAGAAGGCGACCCAGTGTTTTCCTCTTCGTCCGCAAGGATCTGTATTCACGTCATAAAACTGGGATCTTTTTCTTTTCACAAAGGCAGGTAACTCATCTGCGCAAATGACTTTCACTCCGTAGGGTGATAAGTACGTTTCCAGTTCCCGGTTATTCATTGTTTAAATACACTGCGTGATTGATCGATGCGTAGAATTTCTGGGAATTTTCCGTACATAATCAAGGTCACGCTCTCTGGGAGAGCTTTGGCAAAGCGCAGCTCTAAACGACAGTGTGCTCTTCTCTTGACATTAAAATCTACGTACGGGTTAATGTCCAAGACGTAGAAGGTATACCCATTGGCGTATTCTTCCCTGGAAATCCATATATTGTCATCCACGCTTTGAAGGGTTTGATAAGCATTCAGGTAATTATTTTCTCCAAATTGAGGTTGCAGAGGTTTAGAGGGTAGAGACTGACTATCCACGTAGAGAGCCACAAAGTTGCAGTCAAAGTGTTGGAAATTGAACGGCGACTTCTTATAATCTCCGCTGTAAGCTGTACTGGACACCAAACCCAAAATCAATTGCGAGGGTACTTCTCCTTGAAACATGTTGTCAGCACTGAAGCTGAATTCTCCTTTTGCAATGGAAGCGATTTTGACGGATGACGACATGTAAGGATAGATTGTAGTGGACTCCTCTAATAGTTTAGCATGAGCCAAGGTTAATGCGGGGTTTGGTCTTTGGATACACATCTTTAAGGTGGCATCCACAATTTTCAGCTTTTCGTTGGGTGAATCACTGGCAGATATCAATCGAAACGCATTTGTACTAGGCCAGAGTTTGAGATCCAATGTCACACCATTCAGAATCAGTCGTTCTTGTTGAAACACATCCAAGAGCAGCGGGCCTTCTAGATCTATCAAGCCCCCGTCTTTGGTGTAATTCCATCTCTCGTACAACCCCATGTTAGGAGAAGTCTTGGCGTCTGCATCGTCAAATTGTCCACTGTAGTCTTTCACAAATAACTGACTAGAGTTGAGAATGTACTTGGACTGCTCTGTGCTCATCAAAGTGTCGATATAGGCCTTTTAAGGGTAATTAGTACCTACGTCGGAAACGATCTTTTGTTGCAGCTGACATTCCACATTAGAAAACATGCTGGGTAAAGGTAAGTTCACAAGAGCTGCTACGTCTTGGTCCGTCACCGAACTTCCATCCGATCGAGTAACTTTGATTTTAACGCTCAGTCGACTTTGTTTCAAATCCATGTATCCTGTAGACTGAGGGTTAACGTGGAAGTCAATGGCGGTTTCTTCTCCCAGTTGGTTGACTGGTCGAAATTCTATCCATTCCCTCACTTGTATGGCTGTATCGGTAGGTGGTGATTCAAAAATAGACATCTTATGTACGTGATTTTCCTCAATCGTTGTTTAATATTTGTATTCGTTATGTCGCTGAATTGTTTTCAAACGTTTGCCAGTGGGGCCGAGTCGTTGTTGACGTGCTGGACGCTTTGTTCCTCTTATAACGTGGTGATTCAAAAATAGACATCTTATGTACGTGATTTTCCTCAATCGTTGTTTAATATTTGTATTCGTTATGTCGCTGAATTGTTTTCAAACGTTTGCCAGTGGGGCCGAGTCGTTGTTGACGTGCTGGACGCTTTGTTCCTCTTATAACATTTCCAGTTTCGCGTTCGATTTCCGATTTAGCCATCTCCACAGCTTGCGCCACCGGGGTCACCAAGGTCACTTTAGGGTGCTCGACAGTTTTTGGTGTCGCTTTATGAATGGAACCACTCCCTACAATGTAACGTCCCTTATGATCCGGTCTCACTCTTCAGTATATCTATGAAATGTTGTTCCCATTTCTTGAAATCGGGGATATAAGGTACCCATTTGGAAAGCTTGGCGTCGTATATTTCTATGGAACCCATCTTCGCTTCTTTAGCAATAAAACACAGCTAACAGGTTTATCCAGGGATACAGGTTGCATGTCACTACCTCTTATAAACAATCGTATCCTATCGAGACTTTTTACTCCCCGTAAGGAAAAGAAATAGGGTCGTTGAAATAGCAGGTGACCGTAAACCGTTGCACGACCTATAAGTGTGCCGTCATCTTCCATGGAGGGTATGATTCTCAATAATGGCAATAATGTTCCCTTCACGTAGGAATCTTTACGACATCACAGCACACGTGTAGGCGTTCGTGATACGGCATATGCAACGACATTTCCAACAATGCGCATTCCCAATGTTCGTCCAATCGATACGTTTTCGGAAGAGTAACGATAAAATCTCCAGGCACATTTCCTGGGTGAACCGAATCCTCAATGCCTAAAAATAGATAATGCTCCATTCTAACAGAGCCGAAGTTTACACGATGCCTTCTCTTATACTTTCAAACCGTACAATTGCACATCTTTCCAGGGAATCCAACTATTGAACTTTAACGGCCATCCCCACCATTTCACCAACGCTTTATTATTGACGCGTCTCAATAACTTCTCGATCCGGTACATCGTGTCATCAGACACAATCACTTTAGACAATTCGGATTCGTAGAACGTGCCACTCACTGCATCTCCTTCCACGTCCTTTAAAGTGTAGAGAGCCAGTCCTTGTTTCATTTCCCTCGATCCTACCACAAAGTACCCGTAGGTCCAGCGTTCATCGTATTCGCGCTGAAACGGTCTCTGTTTATGGGAGATACGAACCTTATCGCCTACTTTGAATTTATAGCGAATGGATGGTCCACCTTTCGATCTATTTTTCGTCGGAGGTTTGATGTCGTGCTGTATCTTCCACAACGACACTTGATCCCTCTTCTCTACAGCAATCGGAGCTTTCTTGATACTTCGGTGATACGTCTTATGATAACTCTCCGTTACTTCTGCTAAAACATCAACCCATCGATGTGTTTAACGATGACTTCGGTACCGACTGATGCGTGACTTGATATTCTTGATGGCTCTCTCAGCATAATTGGTTTTACTTTCATTTTGAGTATAAAACTGGTCTATTCCCAAGTATTTGGTTAGTGTTTGTACCGCCTTATTCTTGAATTCTACACCCTTGTCCGTCCTTAGTTTGTCGGGCGTCCTTCCTCGGTCGAATATCGACTTTAAGACCGCCACCATTTCAAGCCCCCTGGTGGTACGTAACGGTGCAGTCCAAATATATCGCGAAAAGATGTCGATAACTAGAACAAAGAATCCGTAACCATCGTTGTCTTTGATGTAGGTCGTCATGGAAGCCGTGTCTGCATCCCACTGATAATCCATGTAAGGAACAATAACGCGCCGTCTTTTGAAACGACGACGCACATGTTGATGTAACGTGTAAGTCTCTTGCTTCTGCAACCATTTTCTAATTTTAGCTTTTCCTAGAACATACTTTCCGTCTTTTCGAACGGCTCGGTATAATTTGTCTAATCCACTAAAGGACCCTGCATGACTGGTGTTGTAATAGAGAGATTTGAGATAGTCTTCGTAAGTCATTTTTTATTCTTTTGTAAAGTACATTTTGATTCCGCCTACCTCCTCTTATAAGCTAACAGCCAATTCTAAAACGACAGGAAATACAACTTCGTTTACATCTTTTGGAGACTTGATCCCCGTGATAATCAACACACCCGAGAAATGTAAAGCAAAGTGTAATCCTTCTCGACGAAACCTGACAGCGGGAAATATTTCAGGTTCGTAGGTAAATTTAAAGGGAATGTTCTGTATTCTTACAGTTTCATCGATGAGTAGCCGATGCTGTCACGACTCTTATGTCCATCACATTTGTACAAAGACCTTTTCGTTGAAGAAAACGAGCATAACGTCTCAGTCTCTCAATTCCCTCGTGAAAGGAACTACTTTTGCCGTTACACTGTATAGCTCCGCTCTTGAACAACTTACAAGCCCCTCCTATTTTCCCATGTTGCCACATAAGACCGCTAAAACTTTTAGGATTATACGTCACATTAGTTAGTATCTTTGCTACATTCCTCAAGTCGATTTTACCATCTAACTTTCCTTGAACAACCACATTAGTCAAGCGCATCTTGACGAATGAACGAGGTAAATACTTTAAAGTTTCTTATATACTTATAATTGATCATGCGCACTTAAAGATCACACGAGTCATGATTAAAGAAGCCAGATCTCATACCGTGAAATAAACCGAAACAAATGTCGACATTTATACACATTTATTCGCATGTATGTACTAATAAACAATTTCAAATATGAAAATACATCATTCAGATAAAAAAGAAAATTTGAAATTCATAATGTTCCCACTCAATATATATATCTATATTTTAAAATACTTTCACAACGAATGAATGTTCAAATTCAAATCAGAAAAACACCCATTCTTTAAGTCTTGGCTTCTTGCGAGGAGGAGGCAATACGCTGTCCTGTTGGTTTACCACGGCTGTTGGTAGTGGCGAGGCGGCAGTAATCGGTCCGCTTTTTGGCGGCGGTGGCGGAACTTCTCGTGTATTTACTATGGCTGATGGAGGCGGCGGCGGACTGGACCGCTGCAGTGATTGCGGAATCGATGAACTGCTGGGCGGCGGCGGCGGCGGCGGCGGCGGTGATATGCCTTTGTTTTGTATGGGAGATTGTGGCGGCGGCGGTAATGGTTGGTCTCTTGGCGGCGGCGGCGGCGGCGGCGGCGGCGGCGGCGGTGGATTTTGACTTAACATTCCCGGGAAAAGGTCACAATAATGTTTATTCCGAACGTGTCGAAGCATGACGTCCTTTCTCGAGAATATATTTTTGCAGTATAAACACTGCAATGGGTTGTCCTTTAAAGATGCAGTCTGCAATGATGACTGATTCAAGAGGCGTTGATACTTGTCGTACGGTATCAAGACGGATTTGTTATCCATGGTATATGTGATAATGCTAAGTTGAGCACAAGTTTGATGGGGTTGACAGCTCTCTCGATGACGCTTGGCTTCTGAAAAGATCTTATTGTTCTGTCTGCTAATAAATACAAGATAGATCGATGTCTTTTTAAAACGCGTTGTTGTTCTGACGTCACAGGTACGTTTCCTTTTCACACATTATGGATGACTTCTCCAATGGCTTTTAATTGTAGATCAGTCAACGTTCGTAGTAAGGCTTTTCTCTGTTTTAATCCTGCCGCCACAAAATGTTCTAAGAATGAGCTTTGGCCCGTGAGTAATTGACTCATGCTTGGGTACGGACCCGTCATCACCTCCTCTTATAAGCAGTGGTAGATGATTGGATCTTCCCCTGGAAAGATGTGTGTGCGCAATCTATATTTGTCATTTGAGTGAGGTGACGCGTCTACCAAGAGGTATCCATAAGGTTCCTTTGTGGCATCTTTATAAGCGTCTGTTAAAAGGTTTGATCGACCTGGAAACAGCTGTCGGCCTAAGTATTGGATTTGGGAAGTATCACGAACATTTTTCATCAGCACCAGATAATAAGTGTTTAAAGCTATGGTGCGAAATTTCGATCCTTTTTGAAATAAGTTTTGAGTCATGAAAATAACACAAATACGTCGGTGGTGACAACCCTGGGTAAACAGCAATTCCATCTCCGAATTATTCAAGAGTTGATGAGCCAAGTCGTCGATGACAATCAAACGATGACAGCGATCTTGGGTAAAGTCGTTAATCTCCTCAAGAGTGGGCAATCCCTTTTTCATTTCCAGATTTTGAATTTCAATTTCCATTTCGTCAAACAACGGTTGATGAATTCCATAGCAATACAGGATTCGATCGGGTGGATCTTCTTTATACATTTGGGATACATTACGTAACAGTCTGTACACAAATTGAGTTTTGCCACTTCCGGTTTGACCACTCACACACATACTGGAACAGGGTATAAAGGTAATACGACGTCACTCATTTTGTTTATCCAAAGACGGCTGAGAAGGCTGACCCACAGTTCCGTTGTTCCACTATTCAAGGACAAGTTGACAATCGATGTCACAACGATGATGTACACTAATAACATTTGACAAAAATAAACGATTTCTGATTGAGTAAAAGGGTACCCAAAATGTCCAACGAGTATTCGAATCTTGTCTTTCCGGCATTTTTTTTTTGGCGCAATACAAACGACCTCTTACGGATGTACATCTGGATCCCCTCTCTTATAAACTCTGATCCATGATCATTTCATTTAATATGTTAATATTATCCGTATCGAACTCGTCCCACTCCATTGTCTCAGATTCCCCCGACTCCTCCTCCTCTTCCATTTTTGTGTTTGGACAGAGTTCCAGGTCCAAGGGCACCGTAGTTCGACCGTCCGCCAAGACTTTTCTCTTACAATAAAAGTACGAGAACCCGCATCTCTGTTGCGTGTAACTGAACATCTTGTTGTTGCGAGCTCTTATACCTTTATTGAGACCACTTTCTGCTTTTTTGGTTCTAAGGACTTTACGGAAGGTGGTAAGTGGACCTACGACGGTCCTCTTACTGATCCCTTTAGAACTAAATTTGGTCTCAAAATAATTCTGGTCTTTGGAAACAGGCGTTTGCGCTTGAGGTTTCTTGCTTTGCGGAGAAGTCGAGTGGCACGGAGTACAACGTCCGGTGTAATTTTTGTCATCTTTTTGGCCACTATGTATGTTTTGAACACAGTCCAATCATAACTTCTCCCTCGTATTCAATCTTAAAAAGCCCCGGTGTTCTTTTGTCGTATTTTGCGTGTTTACAACAGGTGCGAGGAAACCAATGATCTTTACAATCTGCCTCGATCTCCAAACCGGGTCTACAATGTCCCACGAGTCCATCCAGGTATTTGTCTTTCATATGAGGCTTGACCACCGAGAGAAAATCTGGACCTGCTAAACCCATGTAAGCGCTGTCTGTGTCCATCTCGCAGTACTCGAAATCTGCACGGTCTACATATTTGTCCATAAATTTAAATGTTTAACAATTATAAAACAGAAACTCTTTTTTTTACTCATTTATTTTTGTGAGTTGTTGAGATACTGACATACATACATACATAGTCCTCAGATCATAAGACATATTACAAAAGAAGCTTATCAACAGTTTAGGTGATATATATATATGATTAAAATCCAAATTCACAAAACACAGATTGTCGTTTCTAAGTCACCAGTTCAGGTAGGTTTGTGGATTACAATGATTAAACTTTAACATCCCGAGCTGATTGTTGTGGTCGTCTTGCATGTGACACGGTATCACGTTTTCCAATTCCGGAAGATTGTGTTCGATGTCAGGCATGTGATCTCTTAATGCCTGGTATTCTGTCGGTCTCATACAAAGTCCTTTCTTTGTTCGAACTATTTCAGTTTGATCGGGAGGCATCCAGTATCGTCTGACGTCTACACAAGGGTTGTCTTTTGTCACTTTCAAAAATACATTGTCACCCAGGTGAAATGAGTCGTCCTTTCTAGCTCTGTGTGTCACATTACCGTCGTCTTCAGTGAATGCAGAAGACACCGTTGATTCCATCCCATTCATCAGATTTTTATACTGCATCAAAGTTAAACTAATTCCTTTCTTTGTGGGCTTTTCGTTCTCCCATTCTCTGATGTCCACTCGTAATTCCCTATTCCATTCAACAATTTGTACAAAGCGTTCATTTCCTAGAGTCAATTTGCAGCGAGACATTGTGGTACAGGTCGAGATCGAGGAATGATTCTTTTGTGTTCGAATGTAACTTATCAATCTGTTTAATGAATGAGTTATTCATGAAGAGGTGTGTTTAAATTCTAGTTCATTGGTTATTTGCTAACCCTGATCGATGGTTTCCTAGAAAACCACAAATAAGACGTGTTTATGGTATTTTCTAGAAGAATCTCTCCGATCTTCTAATTGGGAAGTGAATGGTACTTTTTTATTTTTCATAAATTAACCAATGCTTTTATTGTTTTCCATTTTCGTTGATCTCTTTATCCCAACAAATAAGTCATCTATTATTCATACCCAGTTGTTTTATGGATTGTTTTAGTCACTGACCAGCAGTAGTGCTTATTATGTTTTTTAAAAACTGATTTTTTATCAACAAAACGTAGTAAAAATCAGTGAATATATTCATTTATCCGCTCGTGGTCTTTCACTGCCAATATCTTCGCTTTAATATGGAAAAGGTTCATCGTATACACATCGTATACACATGGTTAGCACAATCAAGGAGTTCTCTCATTTTCCCAAGCATTTATGCATATTTTCACGATACAGTTGGCTTCTTGAACTGTTCTTGCTCTCGTGAAGTACAGTTTCTTACATTTACAAAAGTTCACAGAATTGCCATTCTCTAAATGTTGATAGATAGCTCTCTTGACTCTGGCTACTCTTGTTCAAAAACGAATAAAAAAATCGGCCATCTGCATGTCAGACTACTGTCCATTAATTTACAACAATGAGAACTTTTAGGTTACATCTATATAGGTACGATGCTTGGTCAAACGTTAAAGTTCACCTTCTTTTTTAAAACAATCTACTTTGAACTTTTAATAGAAGAGCGAAACCTATAATATCATTGTTTTTATCTTTCATCGATCTCTTTATCCAAATCAATGCGTCATCCATTATTCATACCCAGGTATTATATTGTTTTTTTTCCTTGCTGACCAGTAGTGGTCCTTATCGATTTTTTTATTGATTTTTTTTTTGCTCACTGCTCATGGATGGTGGTTATAATCCCTCGCTCTATACTACTGCCCTAATAACCCAAGACTCAAAACACTAAGGAATGTTTGACATTACATCTAAAATTCAGAACAAAGCTTTAAATTGCCAGAGTATACATTTAAATCAATAAAGCAAACATATAAATTAACACCAAAACAGTAAATAGTGCAAGTAAAAAAAAATACTTTCAACAATGTTAAAGATTTTAACTCGAATTTCCTCCATACAAACATGTCATTGATTGAGAGCTTTGAAATTGACATTACTTGTTTGGCGAAGATTTGACTGTTGTTTTCTTTTGTTTCTGTTTAAAAGCAATTCTTCTTATGGATAATGAATCCGCTTTTTTATTTTCACTGTTTAAAACACTGCATGTTACATCTATTTTTAAAGCGTTTTAAAGGTC